GAAAGAAGTAGGAAAAAAATTAGTTCCGTAATCGTGCCAATAAAATCGACCGCAGTCCGGTCCGTCGTAGTCAAAAAGTCGTTATCAGAAAACTTAACTTGAAGAGAAAAACATTTAACGAAAGAAGAATGAACTTCAAGGAGCAACAGCCACCTCCCTTCACTCAGATCGAATGTGCCTTTTTGCGAAATGTACTCGATTTTCCTGTCCCTAATTCANGAACAGTACTTGGCTCATTTTTTGACGAATGATGAACTTCTGACGACTCTGATACCATCCGATGAACTGTATCCGTTGAGACATCAAGTTCGTAGGAAAGTTTTATTTCCGCGCATGACGCTGTTGAGTTTGATGCTTCTTGAAGAATCCGTCGCTTACCTCTAATCGGAAGCAGTGAAGGTTGTCCTGTGAAGTTTTTGGTCTCATAAGCACCAGGATTCTTGGGAATCTAATGATTACTTCGAGGCAGCGGCCAAAATCTTGTGCGATTTCTTGATTAGACGATCCTTGCCTTTGTTTTCCGAAAATTTGGCATTTTTCGAATTCTGACAGTAGGATTCCTTTAGCCATGACAGGGAAGAAATGCATTATATTGAGAGGGCAGTTATACAAAGCGAAAAAGGTCGCGAGAAAGCGTAGGGTGGACGTATCTATTTGCGGAATAGGCCACTGCAAATTTTCAAAAAAATGAAGATGAAAAACATAGCACCATTCTATTTGAAATTCGGTGGTGTCTGTTTGTTTCTGTGTATGGAAGTCCGATATTAGTTAAAGAAGCAGTTGGAGAGGTCGTGTGAATTTTGGATGGGTTGGGCACAGGGCACGTTCAACAGAGAAATGCCACCCCGGCGGACTTCGCCCACAAAGGACGGAGCATCACTCACAGACGCCCATAGAGGGCAGGGCTCCTATGGGCTAGCTCTGTCTAAAAACGTACCAAAACGCGAGGAAGAGTGGTCAGAGGTAATAGAAAGATTGTGGCCGTATCTCTGGAATGGTCATATTTCCGCTTCATAGTCCCGATTTTAGATCAACAAGTCAAGTGAAGGAGTCAATGCGCGGTGAGCCAAACATTTGCGTAACCCCATGTCCTACCACAGCCCATAGCCAGATCCTCGAGGGGGAGGCCTAGATCGGAAAACCGATTTCTGTCTGACGCGTTCTTTGCTCTGATGCACGCGTTAGCGTACGGAGCCCAACTGTTCAAAGATAACTATGCCATAAGTAAGTGAAATCCCCAGTAAAAGGCTCGAATGAAAATAAGAAAGTCATCAGGTAGGATATAACTTCCTAGCCTATATATTCACTTACAAAATTAAAGAAACAGNNNCGCGTTAGCGTACGGAGCCCAACTGTTCAAAGATAACTATGCCATAAGTAAGTGAAATCCCCAGTAAAAGGCTCGAATGAAAATAAGAAAGTCATCAGGTAGGATATAACTTCCTAGCCTATATATTCACTTACAAAATTAAAGAAACAGAAGCATTATCGCCACTCGATAGTGACACAAGATGATTATCTTTCTGAGCATGAGATCGGCACTAAGCAGCAAGGTCGTGGATAGTGTTTAAAGTAATCACTTTATCTTGTGATTAAATACTCTTGCACTCGTGTTTTGAGCATAGTGTGAGCTCTTAATAAATGCCCACCAGCTCTCAGAACATGGACAGTTTGGGGGCGCATCACGAAAGCGGTTTTGGACGAGCGAAAAATGAATTTACAAAGTTTCAAAACTGGTAAAATTGGTGTGGTACTTAAAGCCAAACTGTACTCTTCATAGCATTGTAGTTTCTCTCTGCCAGCTGCCGGATGCATACCATTATGATTCACCAGGCGTGCTCCTAAATAGGCATGGCAGCAGCGAAGGCACTAGGTCAATAGCGACCGTAAGCGAAGCGTCAGTTCGCTCAACGACCGATTATAAGACGATCCAGCCACCTTCCATCGAAATTTCACACCACTTACATGTGCCTGAGCACATCAATCAATTCTACACCACCACTACTAGAACTACAGAACCATAGCTCCATAAGTCCAGTCTGACTGTGAACTTGCCTGATCTTTTTGAAAACAAAAATTAATTACCTCATCAGAACTGATTTTATACAAAAAAAATTGACTTCTCAGCCGCAGTCACTTTCAGGACACATTATAGCTGATCGATATTGGGAGCACTCGCGAAATATATATTGATCGAAAGTTAATCTGAACTTGACACATACTTGCGATTATCTAGCATGTATTCCTCATATCACATAATCGAAACCCTTAAATGAGTGCAAAAATACATATTCACCAAAATGCTCTTTCAGACGTAACTATGAAAAAATTGGTAATTCAAATCACAGTTTTTAACTGGAGCTGTTTCAATTATTCCTTGGAGGATATCAAATGAAATTGATTCCATGCTTCTCTCAAATATAGCGTCACGTACGGCATCAAAAAGTGACAACAAAATCTCTAATTGGAGTGGATCTTTTACGTTGATGTCGTATCCACATTCTAAGGTACTCGTGGGAATAAATTCGATCAATCCGGGTTCGACTTTTGGTAAATGGAGATGCAAAGTTAAAGAGAATTAAAATTCATTATGTGACTGGATTCTCATAGGCAGTGCTCTCCATTGGCACTCCGCTCAGAGTATACAGATTGCTGGAAAGAGGTAGCAGAGACCTGAAAAACCTATTTGAACCATTGCTTTCATTCTGCTGGAAGCATCTGAATTATGCCCTGTAGGATGCGAAAATGATCAAGATTCTGTGCTCGCCTCGAATATAGCTCCATTCATGCCCTTCAACAACTAGAAATCCAATCGAAGTAAAGGTTTTACGATGCTGCTAAATCCGCAAGTATAGCACTAGAAGCAGAAGCGCTCAATTATCGTTACTCCTGGAAATGAAGAAAAATTTCAAAGGTAATCCGAAATTTATCATTTATCTGGATCATTCACAAGCACGGCTCACCGCTGATCATACCTTCAACTTGATTGGAGTACTTTAGCACAAGTTATGGCCGAGCGGACTAATCCGTCGCAAGCCGTCGCTTAACCACGAATCAGTAACAGTATTGCAGGTGTTCACTCAATAATGTTCTCTCAAACGTGACTTGTTCCGCTACAATAGCTTTGGGAGCGTCACCGAGTAAGAAATGATCAAAATCCTAGCGAAATTGTTGTGCTTTTTCCTTTCAAGGCACCTCACTTGATGGTGCCCCGTTCATCTTCGCGGCTTGATCCCATCTTGAAGCCGTGAACAACATTTTGACAGCCGTGACGACGGATTTGGGCACTGCTCTAGCAGGATGCTTGATTTTGAAGAGAACTAACATCGAAGGGAATCAAAAAAATTTGATTACTACCCTTCAGCACAAACTCTAGATGCCTCGGTTAAAAGCTTCCTTTTCTCTCTTCAGATGGGCGAACGTGTTAGGTGTAGCCTAGTTTCCGTCAAGTATTGAGTTCAACTCATTGCTCTTGAAAACATTAGAGCACCTTCACTCTTTTTTGTTGTATTCTGCGGGACAATGGTGTACCGTAAAAGAGAAAGACATTACCTAGACTGACGAAGGTCAGATCCCTCAGAGGTCAACACTATTTGTCACTCTAATGAGTCCATTGATTGACGAGGGATCTTCAATTAGAGCTGTTTTGCGGTCGTGTCAACGTATCTATGATTTATGTGTGAAATGCAGATGAGCAGATGCAAGGATGTTCGGAGCCTAAAATGCCAAGAACAGATTGGGCTAGTATGTTATGTGAGTAAATTATTTCGTAGTGTTACTGCTAGAGTAAGCGAGAATGGGTAAGAATTGGACGAATGAGATCATATTGTCACGATTCATCACCTCAAAGCGATCAAACCGAAAATGATAGTGAAGGAATGCTGAATGCGAGGGTTGCCTTCTATATTTTGGGATTGAGCAACCCTAGGGCTCCGATCTGGCAAATGACAGCTTCATCGTAAGGTTTGACATTCTTGAGGTTGTACGTACTCAGAACGTTTTGACATGTGAGCGCCCTTTGTGTTGTTTACACTAACTTTAAAAATTTATTCAGGCCTCTGGCGCCCTCATCCCCCACTTAGGCCAAACCTTTTTCCCTTTAACCTCCCCCTCCACCTTTGACGATGAAGCCCCATCAAGGACCAGTGCTTATCGATGGATGCTGAATTCAACCGAGGTCGTAGTTCACTCCAAGACGAATTTCATGGTGGTCTCCAAAATCAGTTGTTGTTCCGATGCTTTGGCAAACTAATATAGCAAGGTCGTCATGTGACCTTTAGTGAGTTGCGGACAACCTTAGGCATTAAAGGGACCAGCATGCATTCAATAGCCCGAAAGTAAACAGCAGTCTACCGTATGGGTATTTCAGGATGAGCCTCCAACAAAAGCTGTCCGCGCACGGAGCCTTTCCAAGCAAGTGGTCGCCTGTTTTTTTGGAAAAACTGGACATGTCGCAACCGTACCAATAGAACAAGCAGAACAGTCAATTCTGAGTGGTATACAACCATTTGCTTGCCAGTTTTCTTCCAAAAAATCAAGAAAACCAACTGCTGAAGGCAGACCACACTTCACCACGCAATTCGAGCTCCCATTCATGGCTCAAACAACTGCATTTTTGAGCACTCAATACAACGATTTCAGTCATCAGCCATATAGTCCCCGGGTGACTTCTTCTTATCCCGTACGTAAAAAATGGAATGAGAGGTGAACGTTTTTCGACACTTGAAGAAGCCGTTGATGCGTTCAGAATGCATGTTTTAGAGTTACCTTAATCAGAGTGGCAAAAGTGCTTCGACAATTGGTTTAAACGCATGCAAAAGTGTATAGATCTTAATGGGGAATATTTTCAAAGGAAGTAAAGCGATTTTCAATGAATAACATTTATTTTTGTTTTCTAATCCCGAAACATAAAAGGCAACTTACGTATCTTGTTTGTTTTTTTTTGAGTTCTTTTCAAAACTTTGTCCAAATGCAATCGAAGTCACTTCATGCACTGCAAGTCATTCCAACAATCCATTGAGCATGCTGCTTACGCTAAAGGCGCAGTCCATACTAATTCTGAGGTGCCTCTTAAAATGAACTACGGAATTCATGGTGCAGATCAATTGGTACATGCATTTGATTTTGTGGGGTATATGGCTTTTAAGGCTAGTTGAAGTAGGGAGTTGTACGAGATCACGACAAGGAAGTGGTATGAAAGGGATATGCGTAAAGTGTTTGCCAAAATAAACAAAAAATAGATGTCTGAAATTGTCTACGACTGTCGCCGTAGGGCGAGAATACATGCAATCAAGACTTCCAGCTTCACACAGAGCTCTTTAAACAAGGCTACTCCCGGTAGTGGTGTGCATCGGAAATAATTTTTGAGCTTCTATTACGCCCTACTGAACCCATTTTCAAAATGACAGCAGCCCACACAACGAGATATTTATTTTGGTAGGATATCACAGAAACTATTATATAACTATTAACTATTTCGACGTGGAATGTGTCCTCAGTGGGACAAAAACAAAAAGGTCGACAAGCGAGTCTTATGTGTAGGAACAGAAAGGATAAGTGCTCAAATCTTATTCAAAGCAAGGTACAGATCAGCTCGCCTCCTAGAAATTCTGCGACAATGGTGCATTTCAGCTCCGTACGAACTTGTTTTTGAGGGAATGAAGTAAGCTCAATGGATTGACTTGAGAGATATCTCGACACTGAAAGACTGCAGAAGGAATACTTAAGCAGTCCACGGATCATGGAAAACAGAATATAAAATTACATTAGTGAATGTTTTGGCATTGCATCAGATGTAGTAGGTGGTTGGACACAAGTTTGAAAATAATGGTAATGTTACACGCGAAATCGTCATTAATCCATTACCTTATTACAACCCTCCTTAGAACAAAGCCGACGCCATTGTTTACCATTGAATTTCTTTCGAATGCCGCCTGGATTGGTGACGATTTCCCCTTTTTTGTAACGCTGCTGTAATATAAAAATTCGTGTTTCTAGAAAGGAGGCTTTGCACATACATATTTAATTCATCTATTCATTCATATAGGTCAATCCTATGAAATATCGCAGTGGTCCAGCAGTAATTATGACATAAAAACTTGTTCAGCACGAGGCTGCCACGAAGAAAATTCTGAATTTTCGCCAAGGCTTCGAGCGGAAAAAGAGGACGTTCCTGATGTGTGAATAACTGCATTCTGGAAAATAGTTGAAGCGATAGTCTCTATAAATGTCACCTGATTCTCATTCGAGGCCCTCTACTCAGTTGTGAAGCATACTGATAACTGGCTAACCACATTGCTGCCAAAAAACACATCGACTTCGTGCTATAATTTGAAAGGCGAATTGAGTTGATTTTAATAGAAATAAACATTCCAAACAATACGAGATCCCAATTCGACCTTCTTTAATGTTAGCATTATCAGTTCTTCAATCATGGAAAGGCTTCAAATTCGGATTTATAGACGGAATGTTCATTTTCCACGTCATGAAGGAGAAGAAAATTTCCGTCGAGAGAGAACAGATCAAGACCTCTTCTCAAGTACACACAAGATACGAAGGGAATGCAGGGCTCAGGTCCAACACTTCCATCAACAGATTCAATTCGAGCTTGCGACCGTCAGACCAGAAGGAACTTTGATCCTGATAATGAGTTACGTTCTGAGCTAAACTAATGCAACTTGCCAGTGTAAGCTGACCAAGGGATCTGCTGTAGTTCTCCCCTTAAACATGAGTTCTGGGCAGAAGTGGTGTAGCGGTAAACATCGCACTATCTCGCACACAAGTCCGCGGTTAAAATCCCGGACTAGGTGTGTAATAGCGTGTGATCGGTACTCGTCTAGGCCAACCAAGCCACCCATCCCTTCGGGCTCGGTTGATTGGTGACAGATTCGTCTGGAAGGAGAAGAGCATTGACATGAACATCTGCTCGCCATCGCAAGCCACATACGCATTTAAAACTCCACCACGATCCTTAAAGGAAGCCACATGCGGAGGCGCATCAAAAAAGGGGTTTGATTAACGAAAAAGACTTTCCGACCCTGAGCTTGATACATCAATTTCCTATTGCACCACTAAGCGCAGCGCTTCTGCACAGCAACACTGCGCCTATTCCAACAATGAAGTAATAGGAAGACAAATTATTTTCGTCCTGCAAAGTGGATTTATTTTCAACTGCTTTTGAATAATGTATCGCAAAAGGCAAGAAAATACTGCCGAAACCAACGCAGAAAAAACCATGAGTTTCAAATTTCTGCTCAAATCACTTTCTCAGTGCGAATTTCGCAGTCATGATGCCTAACTATTGCTGTAGGATGGCTATTTATCTTGTTGAGGTAGGGAAATTCCGGTGAAAATCTTCAGCATAGACCAGAGGTAATGATTGAATCCTCGTTCGGCACTCAAGCATGTGCGATTTGTTGGAAAACTGGGAACAAGGTTAATTAATCTACCTAATTAGTTCCTGACCAATTATTTCGTTGAATCCCGTTGAGAGCAGCGAGTCGGATAGAGGTTCACGTAATGTATTTCAAAGGTTCTCTCAATTTTATCTGTGAGGAAATTTTAACATTCTAGCAAGGACATGAATATGAATCAAAAGAGTCGTTACAGCTGCGGAGCCGAGGGTGGGGGTAAGTGGTAGCTAGTTGGGTCACGCCCCTCCTACGTTTTACTATTATGAATTGCCGCGTAATTATTGAAGCAACCAGTCTTACCAACAATAGAGTACAAAAAACAATGTTGCGGGAATAAAAAAGAGAAAAAAGTTATCGAATATTTACCTATACAGTGTCAATATAAAGTAGCTATTTAATCGAGGTGACTTTATTATGCTTATTAGAGCGGGATGACGCAATTGATAACAAACAACTGTGGCCTTGTAATAAATATGAAAATTAGAAACATGTCTTCTGATTTCCGGAGACTCTCTAAACGGCTGTTTGAATGTTGAAGGGGTGCCCAGCAATAGCTTGAAAAGTGAATAATTTTCTCAGGTGCACAATAAGAAGGGGGAACCCACTCAACTCGAGGAAAAGTAACATTAGCGCCTTCGAACTACACAACACATATTGCGGCCCAAATAGGAGATCCATTCCGTGAATTATGTTATATATATATAT